CCTGTCTCCGAAATGAGAAGGTTGGACTGGTGGGGCTGACACCCCCGGCAGGCCCAGGGCGAGGCCACAGGAGGGCGGAGGGCACCGTGCTGGCTGGCTCATCCTCTAGACCAGGGTGACGAGCCTCCGTGGGTGCTGCGGGGAGTGGGCCCTGACAGAAAGCGGCTGGGGTAGCCCCTCCGACTCAGGGCCACATGGTGAGACTGGCTGGAGGGGCGTCAGGGTGGGAGGGGGACCCAGCGGCTGTGCGACCCCCAGAGGAACGGACTGGAATTGCTTGGGACGTGGGGCACGTGCTCCTTGCCCTCAGCCCCAGCACCCGATGCTGCGCCACTGCCTCAGGCCACCGCCCGCTTCCTGCTCCTGGAAAGAAAGGCCCCCCAGCCCTCCCTGCCTGCTCCTTGGCCCCCAGACAGTGGGTGACCCACTCCTGCCGGTTCCTCCCACCAGGGCTGTCCTGCTTCTGCCTGGATGAAGGGCCAAGGGATTCTGGGGGGAGGAGGCCATGGCTCCGGGGCAGTGCCCATGCCCTCGAGGGTCGCAGGTCAGGCCTGCTCCCCGCCAGCCTGGGACTTCCGGAGGGGGAGGGCGGCCGGGCCGTGCCGGCCCCTCTGGGTGATGGTCTGGCCAGGGGGTGAGTCTTTGCCTGCCCACCTTGTCCACAGGTGATTACTTCGGGATCCTCAAGGAGGCCAGAGTGACCACGTTCCCGTTTAACATCCTGGACAACCCCATGTACTGGGGCAGCACAGCCAACTACCTGGGCTGGGCCGTCATGTGAGTGGGTTCCTGCCGCCCTCCCTGCCGGCCGTCTCCACGGAAGGCCAGGCACCAGGCAGATGTGTGCCTTGGGATAACTTCTCTCGGACACAGACAGCATCTAGAATAGAAGAGGGCTGGCCAGCTTCCCTCACGGGCCAGAGTGAGGCTGGCGGACCCAAGCTGAGAGGGGCTGCCCGTGGAGCGCAGCCCTGACGGCGAGGAGCAGTGTGACGGTGTCAGCATGGACGCTGACATTTGAATTTCATACACTGTCCAGGCGTCACGAAATATTATTCTTTGGATTCTTTTTTAACCACTTAAGGATGTACATAGCCAGCCTTGCCCATGGACGCCAGCCCGCCAGCCCCGTGCAGTCAGGTCCACCCGGGCGGCGGCAGGGCGTCCCAGGGCCCGTGTCAGGTCCACCCGGGCGGCGGCACCGTCTGGGAGCTGGTCTGTCAGACCTGCAGCAGCCTCTCTCTGCCCCCTGGAGGGAGTCCCATGCCCGGGAGGGAGTCTGCCCCCTGGAGGAGTCCCATGCCAGCCAAGGCCCCGCCCTCCAGGTGTGGGCTCTGGGCTCAGGCCCCGCCCTCCAGGTGTGGGCTCTGGGCTCAGGCCCCGCCCTCTGAAGTAGTTCTCGTTGGTCCATTGTCTGTAGGAAGTGTCCTGCTTTTATGTAACCATTGAAGACCGCTTGCCTTGTGCTCCCAGAGAAACAAAGGGTGAAATGTCAGGATTGCGATGTTTCCTTGCTATGCCCCGCCCCACAAGCACTGGGGCTTTGAGGGACCAGGAGCCAGGGGGCTTCTGGCTGGGGCCCCCCCACGCACACCCCCAGCTTTACTTCCAGACCAGACAGCCCCGGCCCCTCTTGCCCGACTTGGACCCGAGCCAGCCTGGACGGCAGCACACTGGCCAACGGGTCAGGACCTGGACGGCGGGCGCCCTGGTCCGAGAGATAAAGCCAGACACTGGAAAGAGGCCCCGGCTCCACGCATTGGCCACAGGACCCAGCCTGGCAGGGAGGGGCACCCAGTGCAGGCTGCCCACTGATTGCCTGTATCTTGTCCACAGGCACGCCAGCCCCGCCGGCCTGCTGCTGACTGGGGTGGTGGCCCTCGTCTACACGGCAGCCACCCTGTACGAGGAGTGAGTAGGCGCCGCCAGTCTGTGGGCCGGGCTGCTGTCTGCCATCAGCCCATGAGGGAGGAGGCGGCCTTGCCTCCCCTTCAGGGCTGTTCCCATGGCCACCGTTCCCATGGCCACTGTTCCCATGGCCACCGTTCCCATGCCCACCATCCCCATGGCCACTGTTCCCATGGCCACCGTTCCCATGCCCAGGACAGGCCAGGTCAGCTGGCCACAGCCGGCACTGACAGTGGCAGACGGGAAGCTCAAAGAAGTCACCGTGGGGGCTGAGGGTCCGGACAGGCAGTGACAGGCAGCCGCTGGCCCTCCTAGTCCTACAGGGGCACCTTCACTGTCCGTGCTCCAGGGGGGTAGGGCTGGGTGTCAGCATCAGCCCCAAGACCAGCTGACCAGAGCCTGTCCTCCTGCCCCCGCAGGCCCTTCACTGCTGAGATCTACCGGCAGAAAGCCTCCCAGTCCCGCAAGAGCCGCTGACGGGCTGCCCGGCATCTCACCTCTCGCCGGCCTCCCCGGGGCCACGTCGAGACAGCGAACGTGCCCGCTGCTGCTCGTTTGCTGCTGCTCGTGCCTGCTGGCGTGGGCCCCTCCAGTGCCTTGGAAACCGCTGCCCGGGGACCTCGGACCTGCTACCATGTGGCCACTGAGCCCTTCCTACTGCCCACCATGTTTAACTCCCCAATAAAGGCCCTGACCCCAGCTCCTCCTCTTCTGCTCCTTCCCACAGGGGTGGAGGTGATCACACCGGCCAGTGCGCGCGCCCCCCAAATGCCCCTGTGAGCTGCCATCCAGGGGAAATGATCAGAGAGAAAACATGCTGAACTAAGGGACAAGAAAGCGCCCGGTGGAAGTGGGAGCCATGTCAGCCGTGATGGTCAGGGGCCAGGCCTCGGGCGCATGTGAGAGGAGATGCGAACTGGAGGAGGAATGCTGCAAGCAGTGGGTGTGGCAGGTGCCAGGACCCTGAGATGAGGAAGGACCAGCTAGTGAGGGCCTCAGCCTGACACCTGGCTCCTAGGGTCAGGCCAGGGGCTGGCGGGGCCATGATGCTTATTTTCTCTGTACCCCAGGCTGCCAGGTCCAGCCGGACCAGCTGGCCCTAGAAACAGATGACCTTCGTGGGGTGATGTGAAGGTATCAGGAAAGTTCAAATGTGCGGCCACCTCCCCCACCGGCCGGCTGCCTGGCCCTCCCGCTGGAGGGCTGTCTCTGGTGGAAATGCGCATGCGCCTGGAGGTGGCAGGTGGCGGGCCAGGGGAAGGCACTGGCCCACTTCTGTCTGGGCTAACTTCTTCGAACGCACAGGCAATGCTGGAGGGGCGGTGGTGGTGGGGGGGGGGGGCACAGGCACATGGCGTGCCCCTCTCTGGCCTGCCCTGCACGGGCTCTCGTGAAGCCCACACAGGCTGAGGTCACCCCGTTTAGCAGCCGAGGATACGGGGCTCAGAGAGGCTGGGTGACTTGTCCCTGGGGACACATGAGTGTTAGCATGTGAACCGGCTGGAACCCAGGTCTGTCCCACCCTGAGCCCACGCCTCCCTCTCCCTCTGAGGTGAGCAGCTGGAGAGAAATGGGAGCTCCCAGTGGTATCAGGGAGGACTTCCAGCAGCTCCCACTGCCCCCGCCGCCTCGGCAGGAGTTGGCACCTCCAGTTACTGCCAACACTTCTAGTCCCTCACGGACCTCATGCGGCCACCAGGAGTGGGCCGCGTACTCGCCTGGGGCCTGTTGAGGGAGCCTGGTGCAGCCCTGAAGATCGGCAGCCCCTCCAAGGGCCAGGCTCGGTCTTGCCCCCCCCCCCCCCCATGGGAGCCCAGGTGCGAAAGGACACCAGCCACGCGGCTGGCATCAGCGGTGCTCAGCGGTGCTCGGCCTGTCGCCCTCGGCCCTCTCCGGGGCTCCTCTCTGGTTTCTCGGGGCCTGAGAGGCCACAGAGGCATCTAGTCGGACCCCCAGTGCTTCCATCCCCGCCTGTTGGCAGCCCCTCCGAACAGGGAGCTCACTCCCCACAAGCCGCTCTGCACACACAGGCCTTTGAGGAGGACCTGGCCTGGCGGCCTGAGCCCTTCCTTTGCCAGCGCAGGAGCAGCTCCAGGCAGCCTGACCCTCGGGCCCAGGCTGGGGCCCGGCTGGCTCTGCTGGAAGGGCCCGCGGACAGGGACGAGCGGGGGCTGAGGAGGAGACTGCCGGACTGCTGGACGGAGGGAGCCCGTCGGACGGGAAACCAGACTGTTTTGTCAACAAAGGTCACGGAAACCAATCCAGTGCTTGAAGGGAGAAACTTGCTCGAGTGAAACAGCCCACATGAAACCGTGAACCACAGGAACCCCGTCCCCCTGCTGTTGGGTCTAATTTCATGCAAGTGATCCAAACGCACAGTTTGATGGTCCGAATTGCAGTTATGACTGGTCGTCATGGAGCTGGTCTGATTGGTCACTGAAGAAGCAAACGAGGAGAAAGCTGCACAGCTTCCATCCAGGGACGGTGTCACCCAGGCCGCTGGCAAGGGCGGGCGGGCAGGAGCCCGAGGTGCGGTCCGTGGAGGCCTCTGCGAGCCCGGCTGCCAGCTGCTGGCCACAGTCCGGGTCCTCTCGGGCAGTTGGGTCCTTCTCCTCTGCTTCAGGCAGCAGCCGTGGCCCGGGAGCCAGGCAGCTCAGAGCCCTCTGTGAGGCTAAGAACGGGCTTGGGCTCGGGCTCGCACTGACGGTGCACGGACACGTGTGCTCGCCGGAGGTTTCCGCACGCCGCCCCCCGACCAGGGCCCTGCCTGACAGGCTCCTCACACACAGCTTTCAAGAACCTTCTACAACCTCTAGGCCACCCACAGGCTATGGCAGACATGGCCTGCCTTGGAGGCCAGCTGTGCCCCCCCGCCCCCCGCAACATTTGGTCAAATATTTTTATTTATCTTTTTAATATGTTTTTATTGATTTCAGAGAGGAAGGGAGAGGGAGAGAGAGACAGAAACACCAATGATGAAAGAGAATCACCAATCATCTGCCTCCTGCACACCCCCTGCTGGGGATCAAGCCTGCATCCCGGGCATGTGCCCTTGGCCGGAATAGAACCTGGGACCCTTCAGTCCACAGGTCAGCACTCTATCCACTGAGCCAAACCAGCTAGATCTGGTCAAATATTTTTAAAAGCTCCCATTCCACTCTTAGCAGGAAAATTGCTAGATTGCAAGTAAATTACATTTACAGGCAGGTTCAGCCTCAAATGCTGTCGGTTGCCACACACAGAAAACAAAACCGCCTGTAACCATTATGCACCTGACAACGTAGCCCAGTGCTCTGCGGCAGGACGCGGGGTGGCCGGGCCCTGTGGGCGGGCGGCGGCCCCGGCTGGGCTGGCCGTGGGGCTCAGTGTTGAAGATACTCCACACTCTGGACTCGTCCCGCCCAGCGCAGTGCTTCCCTTAGCAGCTGTGAGGTGGGCAACCTCGAGGGAGTTCGCCTCACTCCCAAGGGCTGGGGCAGGAGGGCTCTCCCTGCCGAGTCCCTTCACTGCATTCCTTTCTGAAGCTTTAGATATTTTAGAAACATGAACAGGTATTACTTTTTAAATAAAGAGAGACAGGTAGGAATGAAGCAGCCCAAGCTAACAAGTGTCCCCTCTGCTTGCTCCCTGCAGGCACGAGGGCCCCAGCCAGACATGCAGGTGGTCAGGCTCATGGGCTTTGGGGCATTAACGGGGCTTAATGAACTCAGCAGCCTTGGGAGAACAAGCCTTACAGCCTGGCCTCTGTGGGGCAGGGTGACATGCCCAGAAAGGACCAGGAGTCCTCATCTGAGAAGCCCAGCTGGGTCCCAGCCCACTGCATCTCTGAGGGAGAGCTGGGCTCAAGCCCTGGACTCGCCACCCTGGGCCTCGGCTCATGGAATTGGCCCTCCCAGGACTGGCACCCCGTGGAGGGTGGGATTTCGCCGGGACCCTTGTCAAAGGTCTGAAAGAGATGACATTGAGCGCCCCTTCCCAGGCAGCTGAGGTTCGCCAGGCCTGCAAACAGCTGAGGGGTGTGGGTGGCACCCCAGGACTGCCCATGGCACCCTGAGCCACGTGGATGGGGTGGCACCAGCTAATGGCTCCCTCCTTGGATTCTTCCAAATCCGACGAGGTCAAAGCAAAGCAGCACAGCCTCCCCTGGCGCCGGAGCAGCGCTGGCTTTGCCGTGCGCTCTCAGCTGAGCACTGCAGACAGCCTGCGCCAGGCCTGTAAGCAGCATCAGCCACTCCTGGCTACTCATCAACCTGCTTCCCCTCACTGCTCCTCACCACCCCCACCCGCCCAGCCCTGCAGCCTCCTGGGCCACTTCGCACTGTTGTAATGACCAGTCCTGCCTTCTAAGCTTTTTGCACTTGCTCATCCACAATCACAACAGGAACCACCATCTTCCAGATGAGGAACCCCAGGCCCAGAGAGGCCAGAGGCTGTGCTGTGAGCAAGGACCTTCCTTGGCTCACTCTGTGGCGGGGAGGCCCCGCTCCCAACCATAAACTGGAAATGTTCGCCCAGGGGACTGAGAGGCACAGGATGCTGCAGAGGAGGGAAAGGGTGTTGACCAAGGAAGGGCACGTTTCTGGTCCTTTTTGGGTTGCAGACAGGAGGATGGGGACAACCCCAGCTGAAAACGCCAGGCCCCAGAGATCTCTCCTCCGAAGAAGCGGCCGAGGTCTGCAGCAGGCGCGGGGCGGCCGGACATCCCCAGGGCAGTGACCAATTCTCCCCAGACCCCAATCTCGCAGCTCCGTCCCCACTCCAGCCGTGCGGTGCCCTCTGGTGGCCAAGCACCAGCCCGGGGCCGGGAAGGGCCCGCGCTGCGGCTGCTTTCAGGTCTGACAGGTGAGGTGCCAGGAGCAGGGCACCTGGTAAGTACCGGCCATGGCGCGGCTGCGATTCCGGGAGCGCTATTGTTCTCTGGGAAAACTGAGGCCCAAAGAACGTGCGTGTGTGTGTGTGTGTGTGTGTGTGTGGATGGGTCCCTTCCCCAAGTCACAGGGGGTTAGGGCACAGCCGGCCGCAAACCCGACCAAAGCGCGTCCCTAGCCGAGCAGGGTTCTGGGCTCCGCTTCTCACCGCCCCCAGTGGGGGAGGAGCGGGCTGCGGCGGGGGAGGTCACGGGAGGGAGAGCGGGAAGGAGGGCGGGGGTGGGGGGGCGCGGGGCGTGACGCACGGAGGTGGGGCGGGGCGGCCGCCAGGCTGCATATAAAGGCGGGTCGGGGAGCGGAGCCAGAGCGACTCTGCCCGAGAGGCTAAGGCTGCGAGTCCAGCCCGGAGCCCAAGCAGAACCCCAGCCACTCCTGGCCCGCCCTGCAGCCCCTCCGCCCAATGAAACTGACCACGATGATCAAGAAGATGTGCCCGAGCAACTCGGAGCTGAGCATACCGGCCAGGAATTGCTCCCGCCTGGTCATCCTCGGCTCGTCCAAGGTGGGCAAGACGGCCATCGTGTCGCGCTTCCTCACGGGCCGCTTCGAGGACGCCTACACGCCCACCGTGGAGGACTTCCACCGCAAGTTCTACGCCATCCGCGGCGAGCTCTACCAGCTCGACATCCTCGACACCTCGGGCCACC